GGAAGGCTCAGTTCCTCAGTCCCTCACCCCATCCCCACAGATCTTACTCTGCTAGTGTCTTTGGCTGTGTTCTCAATTTTCCTTTCTCCTACACTTCATCCTTAATATAGGTTTTTGGGCCCGAGTCTCCTTATGTTTATCTGTCCATCTGTCTCCCTGGCCCTTCTTCCCTGGGCTCTCCTCCCCTGCCCCCGCTGATGGTATTCAGTTCCCAATGATTGGTGTCTATCACCTCTCCCCTCGACCCAGCCTGTGCCAGATTCCTGGAATGCTCTAGGCTTTGTGCTGAGTTTTACAAGTATCATTCCTTTGCATCCTCAAAACAACTGTACAAAGTAAATACTACCCTCGTCCCCTCAAACATAGCAAGCAGATTGTAGCCTCAGGACCCTTGCAGTACTCATCCCTTCTGCCTCGAACTTTCTGGGTCTTCGTATGACTCACTCCCTCACTGTTCAGGGCTGTTCAGGTGTCACCTTGTCGTTAAGGCCTTACCTGATCTCTCTATTGGAAACAACTCCCCTATCCTCACACCCCTTATCTTCTTTTTCTCTTTATTTTTTTCATAACACTTGGACCACCTGACATACTGTGTATTTTGCTTGTTTATTTGTTAACAGTCTGCCTCCATTAGAATGTAAGGTCCCAGGGGCAAGGGTGGTTGTCTGGTACTTACCCAAACACAATGTCTGGTACTTGGTAGGCACTCTCTTTTCCGTTTTATAAATGAAGACCTTAAGGCTTGGAGAGGTTAAGGAACTCATGGAGGTCTCATATGCAGTCAGTAGCAGAGCCCAGCTTGAACCCAGAAGTGTGTGACTTTACATTTCTAGGGACAGTCCAACGATGGGGTTGGTGGAGGAGGCTGGTAATAGTGCTGAACACCTGTGCCTTTGGAGATGGATGAGTTTTCAGCAGGACACAGCCAGCCAGTGTGTCTGAGGAGCCCAGGGGGCACAGGGAGTTGGAAGGAGAGATACTCTCCTGCTTGGGTGATGGGAGCCTGCTGTCCAGGGTGCTGAGACCCCCCTGCATCCTCCCAGCAGGAGAGGAGCTGCCCCCAGTGGAGCCAGTTCACCAGCAGTTTTCTACTTGGGAGGTTTTGACTTCCAGCAGAATCCATGCCCTTTGTGGTGGAAAGAACTAGCAGCTTCAGCCATGAAAATCAGGACAAGCCACTCCTCCCTGGGCCTCAGTTTCTTCATCTGTAAAACAGCAGAAATGGAGTTGAACTGGGTAACTTTCTCTGTCTTTTTCACTTCTAAAAAGTGAAGATTCTGTGATATTTTGGCTCCAGATTCAGCTAACCTCCAAAAGCTGCATGCAGAGGACCCTACCCCTCCTCAACTCTTATTTCCATTTTATGGAGCACTTATTGGGTGCCAGGCATTTACCATGCAGAAGCTCATTTAATCCTACCGTAACACTGTGAAGGGAGTACTAGTACTGTCGCCATTTTATATAGAGGAAACAGGTACTGAGGTTACCATTCATTTACCTGACTGAGTGGCAGGGCCAGGATGAGAAATCCTGGAAGTCTAAACCCGGGCCCAAGGCTTCTAGTATAGGGTTCCTTAGCTGTTCTCTGCCCTTAGCCTTTCAGCACAGGAGCCCATGGGACGGAGACTCAGATCTCCACTGCCAGCTCTCTAGGATGGCAGGATGGTCCAGTGGGGAATGAATAGAAGACTCGAGGCTGAGGCTTTGGCCTCTAAGCAGGGTGGTGTTGCTGCAACCACCTCTTCTTCCCTTGGCCCTGTTTTGTGCTAGGAAGCCCTAGTCAAGGGAGCTGTGTATCTCTGCCTCCAGAGGGGAAGGCCTGGGGAAAAGCACCATTTGCAAGCAGGGTCAACCACTTATGGAATAATTCAGTTTGGGGAGCAACTTAGGTCAGAAAGGAATAATTTGGGCCCTGAAGGGGAACCTGCAACCTCAGGGCCCACCTGGAGCAATGTGCCACAGTTCAGGCCGCATCTCTGTCTCCTTGGGAAGGGAGGGCTTCTTGGGGCCTGCTGAGTGCCTGCTGCCCCAGCCCTGGAGAGGCCACAGTGGAGACTGAGGCCCCACTAAGGTTTCAACAGAGGAGGAGGGGATTATACCCACCTGCTTGGTCAGAGGCGCCAATTGGAAAGAGCTTTGAGCTGAGAGTCAGGAGACTTGGCCTCAGTGTGATCCTGAGCAAATCATCTGCCCTTTCTTGTGCCTCTATTTCACTTAAAAAGTGGGCACACATGACCACGCTTTAGCTCCCCTCCTCTTCTCAGGGTGGAAGTGAGGGGTAGCAGTTAATAATAGATGGAACAGTTCTGTATTTTGAAAAAAAGTAAAGGTGAGCGGGTAGACAGGCATCCAGAGGGTAGTTCCCTAATCCAGGATGTGGCTGGTACCCACGGGGCCTGAAGGACTCTCTTGCCTGCTGCAGAATGAGCCCGTGGTGGTGGCAGGTGAGGAGGGCAGCGAGGCAGGCTCGCTGGCCCTGCTATGAGAGGATGGCCAGGGCCACGCCGTCCTCCCTCCATCCCTCTGCTCACCCTCTTGGCAGCTCTTCCTGAACTTGTTTTTCCAAGTCACTAATTAACTTTACGCTCAGTCTCCCAGGTGGGCCTACTCTCCTAGCTAACTTTTCCTCAGAGAGCCAGCTTCTGCTTCCCATGGTTCCTGGCAGAATTGGGATATGCTGTCCCTGTCCCTTACTTCAACCACTCTGTTTTTCAGGGGAGAGGGTGGTGCCAGGACTGGATTCCCAGCATGACCAAGGCCATGGACAGGCACTTTTGCCAGCCCACCTATGGATGGCCATGGAGAGCCCACAGGCTGGAGCCGTTTACTTAATGCCCACATCAGCCTGTATTGACTTGGCAGCCCCTTTCTCAGAGGAGGAAGAATAAGGCCAGAAAAGGAACTTAAACTTACCTTTACTGGGGAGAAGCAAGCAGGAAAAACTCCAGTAATGTTGTAAAATAGGGAAAGTGGGTCTGTGTAATTGTTACTACACACGCATTTCATCTCCACTCATCCCCTGGGCCCAGCCTTCTCCTTCCGTGCTGTTTCTGATCAACCCATCCAAGTTAAAGTGTAAATGAGGTACATTGAGGTGTGTGATGGGGGATCTGTCCTAAGCCCGAGACACACATTCCCACGGGTGAAATAGCAGTCGTCAGGGAACTAACTGGGAACAGGATCAGTGATTCAGAGATGGCTTTCCCGGGCCTGTGAACTGACCCTGCCTGGGAGGTGGTGAAAACATTGTGGTATGAAGAAAAGGTACAGCCTTTGAAGTTAAATAGTTCTGAGTTCAAATCTGGTTTTTGCCCCTTCCAGACTGTGTGACCTTAAGCACGTATGTAACCTCTCTGATGATCAGTTCATCCTGCATAAAATGGGATGATGAGGCGCGCGTTACAGGGTCGTAGGGAGGACTGAAGGCGATTGAAGCATATACAGAGTGCTTAACAGTACCAGGCATGGAAGAGACAGCTGAGGACTGTTCATTCCCAGATCTCCCCCCTCAAACTTTCTCCTGCTCCAGAAGCCCTGGAGGTGCTGCTTGCTTCATTTTCCCAGGTCCCCTTGTATTCTTCACTGGCGTTTTGCAGTACTAAGAACAAGGTATGCCTTCCCCATCCCAGTGCAGACTCCCAGGGCGGAAAACCTCTCTGAGGCCTCACTGGATAGGGGATGGGCACATGCCAGTGCCTGCCCACGCAGCCAGGTGGAAATCACGGTGGGTCAGACAGACATGGGAATTACCAAATGGTACCATGAGCCCACAGACCTCCCTTACCCACCTATTTAGGCACAGCCATATCTGGTCAAGGAGGAAGCCCAGTCCAGCCATCATGCAGGATAGGCGGCAGCAGGAGGCATGAGACTGGACGCCATCAGTGGGCATTCTGACAGTGGTGGATGGCACGGCATGAATAACACATGAAGGCTCCATAATTGGTGTTATTACACATGCATTTCATCTCCATTCATAATGATTGGACACTTAAACCCAGCCGCCGTTCCTCTGCCGAGTGCTGCTGTCATCCTTCTAGCTGAGATCCCAGCAGCTGTCGGGATTAGCCCCTGCCACTCTGATGCTGATGGGTGTGATTCCTTTTTCGTTGGAGCTCAGAGTTCCAGGAAATGTCAGTTTGTAGGAAGGAGTGAGACTAGTTCTTGCGACCAGACCACCCTCTCCGCTGCCATGGTGCATGTTGTCTGCCTTCAGGGACTTCCTCACCATCTAGGCAGTCAGAGGGGACATCCTAAGGTGAGAGGCAGAAGAAGAGACTATGGCTAATAGGCTCAGCCAGCAGAAAGTGGTCCAGGGTCATTCCTTGCAGCATCCTGCCTCTGAGCATCCCTTCATACAGTGGACCTCAAACTAGTGTGCATTAGGATTACTTAGAAGGTTTGTTAAAACATTGCTGCATCCTACCCTCGGCATTTCTCACTCAGTAGCTTTAGGTAAAGTTTGAAATTTGCGTTTCTAACCAAAGGACCAGAGACCTAATGCTTCTGGTCCAGGACCATACTTTGAGGACCATTGCCTTCAAGCCCAGTTACTGCAACTGTGGTGCATGGACAAAGAGCCTCACCTGGGTGCTTGTTACAAATGCAAAATCACAGGACCTGCCCCAAGCCTCTGGATCAGGAGTGCATTGTAACAAGATTCCTGTTGCAGCTTGACAAGCCTTAAAATGCATATGGGTCAGAGGTGGGCAAAGCTATCGAAGGCAGGTCTGGCAGCTGTGGATCCCTGACCAGTTGCTTCCAGCCAAGAGCAGTTTCGGTCTTCTGTAACAAAGATTGGGAATCATTGCCTGAGAGCCCCCAAGCATATGGATAAAGACCCTCTGAGGAGGGACTTCCAGCCCTGTCTCCACATGTTAATCCCACCTCTCACCCTGGAATGCCCTTTCTGGTAACCTTCATGCAGAAGTCCATGTCCCCAGCTGGGCCCATCCATCCCTATCTGACAGCTGCCCCCTGCTCTCCTCCCCTGCCCATAGGTAGTGGCCTTTGCCTCTCTCTTCTTCATCCTGGTCTCCATCACCACTTTCTGCCTGGAGACACATGAGGCCTTTAATATCGACCGCAATGTGACAGAGATCCTCCGCGTGGGGAACATCACCAGCGTGCACTTCCGGCGGGAGGTAGAGACAGAGCCCATCCTGACCTACATCGAGGGTGTATGCGTGCTGTGGTTCACGTTGGAGTTCTTGGTGCGCATCGTGTGCTGCCCCGACACGCTGGACTTCGTCAAGAATCTGCTCAACATCATCGACTTTGTGGCCATCCTGCCCTTCTACCTGGAGGTGGGGCTGAGCGGCCTGTCATCCAAGGCAGCCCGAGACGTGCTGGGCTTCCTGCGTGTGGTGCGCTTCGTGCGCATCCTGCGTATCTTCAAGCTCACACGCCACTTCGTGGGGCTGCGCGTGCTGGGCCACACGCTGAGGGCCAGTACCAATGAGTTTCTGCTGCTTATCATCTTCCTGGCCCTGGGCGTGCTCATCTTTGCCACCATGATCTACTATGCTGAGCGCATCGGGGCCAGGCCCTCCGACCCTCGGGGTAATGACCACACCGACTTCAAGAACATCCCCATTGGCTTCTGGTGGGCTGTGGTCACCATGACGACACTGGGCTATGGAGACATGTACCCCAAGACGTGGTCAGGCATGCTGGTAGGGGCACTGTGTGCGCTGGCTGGCGTGCTTACCATCGCCATGCCAGTGCCTGTCATCGTCAACAACTTTGGCATGTACTACTCCCTGGCCATGGCCAAGCAGAAGCTGCCCAAGAAGCGGAAGAAGCACGTGCCACGGCCGGCCCAGCTGGAGTCGCCCATGTACTGCAAGTCTGAGGAGACCTCCCCCCGGGACAGCACCTACAGTGATACCAGCCCCCCTGCCCGGGAAGAGGGTATGATCGAGAGGAAACGGGCAGGTGAGATTAGGGGTTGGGAAGGAAAATCCCTTTTCCCCCAGTGGCCTAGGGAGTTTCCAAATGAACCTCGGCCCTTGGGATTTGGGCATGTGTTTTGTGTGGGGCTTCCGTAAGCATAAGAGGTGCCTTTATGAGGGCAGGGTGTTGAGGCCGAATTTCTCTATCTTCTGGCTGGGTCTCTAATAGCTTCCCAAACATCGGATGTTTGGACTGAGTATTCCACCCAGGGTAGGGTGTGATGAGCAGTACATGGGGCTGTATATTAGACGCCCTGGTTTTAAATCCAGTCTGGGCCACTGTGCCGTGTGCCCTGAGGCCAGTCACCCCCCCCTCTCTAGGCACCTGTAAAATGGGAATAATACCATAGCCTACCCTCAAGATTTTGAGAGACCCGAATGAATGACAGATATGGAAGTACTTTGAGAAGTTAAAACCACTTTACAAATGTCAGGCACTGTCAATATTAGCCAATGAGCAGGGCAGCTGTTCTTCCAAGGTACGTCAACACATGAATCACTTCTTTGCAAACGTTCGAGTCTGGTATCTTGGCCTAATAAATGTGATAACGTAATAGCAGTGGGAGGCTGCCTTCTGTTCAGCACAAGCTAGATTGAGTCCTGGGCTCAGGGTTTGACATGGGGTGGAAAGGAACTGAGGAAGGAGTGGCCCAGACAGTGTTGGGAAGGGGAGGAACATGGAATAAACTACTATCTGTGCCCTGGAAGGGGAGAGCCTGGGCATCTGAATCCTGTCCCTCAAGGATGGGAAAGGCCATCCCAAGAAAGCTCATCTCCATCCCTGAATCAGGAGTTGGGGAATGGAAAACAGCTTAATCCCCAACAACACGGATTTAGGTTGGAGAGAGGGAAAAGCATCCTGACTGTTATGTGTAGGCTGGGCTCCTGGGAAAGGTATGGAATTCCTGGTATGGGGAGCTGGACTGGAGCCAGGAGACTAAGGGTAAGCTCTGGGGCAAAGTGGGACTGACCCTGTAGGAGAGGCGCCTAGCTTGGGACACTCACCTGTGGCCTTTGGCATGTGCCTATCATACATGCCCGGGTCCACTTATTCCCTGGGGTCATGTCAGGGGCCTGGGTCTTCCAAAGGCCTTGATAGAATAGCACCCATCAGGCTTCCCATTTCTCCCCCACCAAAGTGGCACTGCTTCCTAATTTGTGAATATTAATCTCCCGGGGAATTTCAGCTGCACTCTGAGGCCCATTCAGCGCATAAAGAGAATCCCAGTATTAAAATGTAGAAGTCCTTAAGTCAGCTCCTCAAGGTACACTTAACTGTGGCCCTATCAGCCTTGCACTTAGCCTAACCCTGACAGCAGCCACAGTAAGGGCATGCCTGGCCAATGGCAGGGCCACTGTCTTCAGATAGAGTAGCACCCCCTTCTCCAGATCCAAGGGCCCAGCTTCACCTGTGCTACTGCCTGACAGAGGCAAGGGGTGGGGACTAAGCCCACGGCACTTGGGAGCTGCGTCGGAGCTTTTCCCATGGTATCCTCCTCAAAGGTCAGCCCTAATTGCAGAGGGCTCTAGGCCTTTTGGGCACAGGACTCTGGCCTAGATGCCCAGTGAACAAGAATGACTGTCATCCAGGGAGAAAGCATGGATACTACTTTATAGGTTTAACCCTTGCCATGCCACCCCTCACCCCTAGCAAGCCAGGTATTCTCCAACGGAATGCAAACTCATCCAAGAGTCAGCCTGAGCCAGACCCAAGGAGGAAGTAGAGTCTGTGGCCTGCTTTGGGCTGATCTCCTGGGGCAGCCGTCAGCAGGCAGATTTGAGGAGTCGCTGCTGTAGGGCCTCTGCGCTGTGGCTTCATCCCCGAGGAGAGACCCTAGGCTGAGGCTGGGAGGGAAGTCATTTTACACCAAGTGCAGCATCTTGCCTTTTGCCTTCTGCTCCTTGGCTCTGACAACACTGCCTCCCAGGTAGATGCTAGGCCCCTCCTGAGGTTGAGGAAGTAACAACTCTGGGTCTGGGAGACCCCAGATGACTCATGAGCAAGGCCTGGGTGGCCCCTCATGCAGCCTCCTTTCTGTGTGCCCCCTTCAGACTCTAAGCAGAATGGCGATGCCAACGCAGTGCTGTCCGATGAGGAGGGAGCTGGCCTCACCCAACCCCTGGCCTCCTCCCCCACCCCTGAGGAACGCCGGGCCCTGCGACGCTCCACCACTCGAGACAGAAACAAGAAGGCAGCTGCCTGCTTCCTGCTCAGCGCTGGGGACTATGCCTGCGCCGATGGTAGTGTCCGGAAAGGTATGGCTTCCCAAGCTGCACAGGGGGGAGCCCCCACAGAGCTGAGTCTCCCGAGTCCCCCCCCAAGAGCTTGAGGTCCCCCCCTCCCCTGAGACCATGGCCGCTATCTCCTCTGCCTTGGACGCACTCTCGCTTTTAGAATGGGTACCTGATCTCCCAGTCCCTGGATTAGAAAGGCCTCCTTCATCTCAAAGGGCACACGGTTCCCGTCCAGCTGCCCACGGGAAAGAGCAGCGCTAGAGGGTTGAGGGCACGCAAGGCCAGGGTCCCCGCCCGATGCTTCCATTGCATCTCTTTCTACCTCTCGTTCCCATTGCTGCCTTTAGGCCCCATTCCACAGGGTCACTGCCAGCCTCTCCCTAGGCCTCCCTTAAACACAGCTAAACCTTCCCAAGTAGGTCACCCCTTGAGGTACCAGCAATGTTCAGGAGTCAGGGAGCCCCACACATCCTCCCATGCTGTGCCAGGGGTCCTGGAGCACAGGATGGGTAGACTTCCATCTGCAAGCACCTAGGGGGTGACTGTCCTCTTGAGGCAGTGCCAGAGATGACCAGGGGGTGGGGTAGGTGGGCAGGAAGAGTGGGTCCCATCTGAGGAATGTTCTCAGTATTTGGAGAGGTAGAAGGAGCAGTCCATCCTCTGCTTGTCAGAAAAGGCTGAAATTCCATCCCCAGGCCCTAAGCCTGCAGCAAGGCAAGGGCAGAGGTTAGGCTGTGGAGCTAGGGATTCCTGGCCTCGGAAAGAGGCTAGGAATGACCAAAGATTGTGGAGGGCCTGTGGTGGCTAAGAACCAGGGGTCTTAGGACCAGGCCCTCCTACCCAGTTTTCGATCACTTATTCGTCTCCCTTGCCCTGTCCCTGTTACCTAACCTCCCTCAACGTTGTGCCTATTGCTAGAGTAAACCCTGACTCCCTCCAAAACAGAACTCTTGCCCAGGTTCTCCGCCACTTCTTAACCAACTGGATTTCCCATCCCCCACTTCCCTCTGTCCCCAAACTCCAGACCCAAACTAGGTTGAGTGAGGAAGGGGCAGTGGCAGCTACAGGAATAGCCTGTGATGCCTCTGTCCCTCTGAAGATGTCCCATGGCCTGCCAGCCCATGCAGGCTCTGTGGGCACCTTCTAGTTTCTTTCTCAGCCCTTTCAGTACCACTGTTCTCATGGAAGCCCCAGGCCACCCTGAGTCTAACCAGCCCCTGAAAGGTGTGTGTCCAGCTGTGCTGGGCATGTATTCTGTGGACTGGCAGAAACAGGAATCGCGATCTGGTGCCTAGAAGGAGGTGGTCCAGCAACCCCAACAAAAGGCTGCAGATGGAGGGTGCTCAGACCTCTACCCTCGCCTGTGTTCCTTTGTTCACCCCTGTGTCCTATCCTTGGGCCCTGGATTTGGCCTTCTCTCTTGCCTACCATCCCAGACAGGCAGTGGGTTCCACTGTGCCCTGTTCAGGCCCAAAGTCTTGCTCTGGCTGGACCATGCTGAGCGGACAATCTGGAACGAGTGGTCACTGTGTAGGACTTGAGCACACAGAGCTGAGTGCCACACACATCTGCTTTCCTCTCTGGGCTGTGAGGGGCTCAGTGGAAATAGGTGTGGAAGAGGCCATGAGGGTACCAGTCAGGAGGGACCACGAGGTGCTGGGAGTGGACTGCACCTGGGGAAGGAGTTTCATGTGCACGTGCATGGGGCAGGGGAGCCAGCATCCCACCATCCAATATCCCTGGGGTTCCTGTGGGACCTGGCTGCTCTATTTTCAAGATGCCTCCACACTGCTTCTTGGCAACAAGCATGTAGCTCAGCCAATTAGAGTGACCTTCGAGAGGAACAGGTGGGTTGCTGGGAAACAGGCCCTGCTAAGCAAGCGTGGCAGTTAACATCGCCAAACTCCGAATGTGCACTCGGCAACTTTCCCCACACTGTACCGTGCCGCACTTCTGCACACTCAGGTTACGCTTAAGACCAGGAGTGAGTGGGCCTGGGCCTCCTCCACACAGGCCCATGTGTCAGAGTGTCAGTTCCCTGGGAGGATGGTGGTAGGTGCTAATTATAATTAGGGCTTCTTAGAGTCAAGAAGGCTGATGCTGGAGGCTGTGGGGTCTTTGTCTAGCTGGACTATCAAGGAGCTAGTGGGGAGCTTAACTGGGGACAGGACAGGACAAAAGTCAGCTGGGTGTGGGCCTCTGGAGTCTGTCCTCAGGAGTCCAGGAGACCTAGAGGCCAGGGAGAGTCAAGGAGGGCCAGGCCCCTCCACCCCAGCCCAGGGCCACCTGCCCTGCAGTGTCTCCTGGAGCATGGACCCTGAGGAGCTGCGCCCACTGACCCATGTGCCTTTTCTTCACCAAGGCTGTGGAAAGTCCCAGAGTCTAAACAACATAGCTGGAGCGGCTGGAAGCAGCCTGGGGCTGTCTCCACTGGCATCATGATACAGCTCGCCCTACCCTCTGAGAAAGTTCCTGCTCACCCCCTTCCACCCCCTCACCGGCCCACCCCCTGGTCACTCTGCCCCTTAGCTGCACCTTCACCTCTGGGCACATGCGCACAAACAGGTGCCCTTCCATGCCCACAGCGCTGACTCCCCAGGGCCCACAGGGGCAGCAGGAGGGAGCAGTCAGGACAGAGGAGAACTTAGGCCCTGAGCCTCTCCTCCGTAGCTTTCAGCTTCCCGAAAGGTTCAGCTCTGGAACCGGAGAGCAAAGGGGAGAGCGATCCCAGAGCTTCTCCCCATATTGGACTCTTCCTGGGCTGTAGGTGCACACCCCGGACCTGCCTCTCAGCCTTGCCTCCCTCTTGGGGTCCCACCAGGGCCAGTCTCAGCCACCAGGCGTGTATGTGTGCACAGTGGCCTGGGGCCAGTCGGCCTTGCTGAGCAGTCAGGCCTATGTTAATATTTTTAATCACTGTGAATGTATTTCCATTCCTCATAGCCTTTAACCAGTAGCCAAACAGCCCATCTGTCTGTCTGTCTGTCTGTCCACCCCACACCCAGACCAGCAAGGAACAAGGCTGTCATGTGGGGCATCTCTGCTGGTGTAAAGGTGCTTTGACTCCTTGGAAGGGCAGTGCCTATGAGCAGTGCTGCCCTGGGAGAAGAGGCCTGATGGTTTCTATCTCCGGCTTGGGGCGCAGGTGGCGGTCCCTAGCGTTGTAGCCTCAGGCTTGGTGGAGGCCGTGGGCGGGCTGCCTAGGCGAGGGAGGCCCTTCCCTCAGGAAGCCTCTGCCCAGATTCAGTGGTGACTCCCACTGGCAGCACCTGGTGTCCCTTCTGCACCCCGAGCTGCGGCATCGCTCTCCACGTTGCTTCCCCTGCTTCTGCGACAGTTTTTCTTCTCTCTCCCTCTCCCTCAAACTCCCAGCCCTGCCTCTGAGTCACCTGCCGTTCCCACCCAGCCTCTGCGCTCCGTATTCCTGCCAGAACCGGAGACTCATCTAATTTCTATAATTAAGTGTATTCATTTACCTAACGAGCCCAGGAGCACAACAGGTTTGTGAGTCACTGGGTGAGCAGGGGTACACCTTGCGCAGGGGCAGCTGAGGGGAAGTGTGGGGACAGAGGCCATCTTGCCCCCACCTGCTCCTGCCACTCCCAGCCTGAGGAACAAGGTTGCCTCAGCCAAGACGTTTCCTGTTTCACCTGATGGGAATTAGACCTGACAGCAGAGCCGTGCGCCTGGCAATTTTTAGAGTCAGATTATGCAACTTTGCGGAGAGAATGACTAAGTAAGGTCCAGATCGGCTCCTTCCATGGTCGGCAAAGATAGGATGGCAGGGCAGCATCAGGGCTGGGCAGAGACAGAGCAGATTATTGCATGGGGTTGGGGGTGTTGGGTAAAGCCTGTGCCGGGAGTGTCCCCATCTCGGCACCTCCCTCAGTCTTGGGCAGACACAGAAATGTCCTTCTGGAAAGGTCTGTTCAGAGTGGGTGCTAGGATTACCCCTACCCTGCAGTGGTTTGTGGGGCCTGCCTCCCACTTGCTCTGAGAATGAAGTGACCTGACTCCTAAGAGTTGAGAAGAGGGGATGTGGGGGCCTCCATGCAACTGCCCTTCAGGAGGGAGCAGGCCCTTGAAGTGACAGGGATGGGGAAGCCTGTGGAACAGGATGGAGATGCGAGGGCCACTCCCCCAACAGTGACAGGGCTCTCTGGCACAGAGGGCCTGGACTCTGACAGGGACACCACAAGCCGGGTATGCAGGTTAGCAGGGATGCCACTGCTATTTTCTCCTCTGACTTGCCTTTCTGATTCAGGGAACCGAGGCCGCTATTTCTGTGGCAGCCCTCAAGTTGTCAGGAGCCCAAGTTTCCACGGCACCCACCGCCTCCTTCCCTCTCTTCCCTCCCACAGGGCTGGGCCTGTTCATGGCACCCCTATGGTGGGCACAGATGTCCCTGGGCGACAAGATGCAGCAGTGCCAGGCTGGAGCCCTAATGCCTCGGGGAGCTGGCTCCCACACATCCCTCCTGGCTCTCTGGCTTCATCTGGGAGAGATAGAACCTAGATAGCAGGCGGACTGAGTAGACTGTCTGCCCTTATTACCTCTTAGCACCTCTGGGCCTGCCCAGGGCCCTGGGAAGGGGCCGGGTGAGCCTAGGAATTTGCAGAACCCCTGCATACCAGGCACTGCCGCAGGAAGTGGCTGCCTGCACAGGCGTCAGGCTTACCCAGGCCTTGGGCCTCCCTCCTTGGGAGAAGGCTCTCTCCCACCCACCATCTGAGAGTAGAGTTTGTTTTCCTTGGACTAGACTTGGACCTGCACCCACTACTTTGCTGTCAGACGCTTTTCCCCTGCAGCTGGAGCTCAGCCCCTTCCCACAGAACTGGGAGGCAGTCTGGGTAGGAGTTCACAACCTCACCTTCCAGTCTGTAGCAGGGCTACTGGCAACCTAGAGGCCAATTTTCAGGGCTTCTGAGAGGTAGAACCAGAGGGGAGAGCACTGCAACCTAGTGGCTGGCTGACAGGAGCCAGAGGGGAGGCCATGGTCTGGCCGCAGGGCCTAGGCTGCC